CACACACACACACACACACACACACACACACACACACACACACATTTTCCTTAGGACACACTACACTATTCAGGAAACATTACCAGCATTAGCCAGGAATGCTAATTGAAACAAACAACTCACAGTTTCTTCATTTCTGAGATGGGAGTTGGCTGTAATTGAGACTTCTGTGTATGTGTGTGCACGTGTGTGTACACTTGGACAGATTCACAGTTTTTGAATGCCAGAGATCTGGGAACTATTGTACACTATTATTGTCCTGCTTTTTTTTCTCCAGTTTTGCTTTCAAGCAGAAAAGAGAGCAAATTTGTTCACTGTAAGCACACTTTAAAACTGACAGATTCTCTGTTCCAGACCAAAGTAAACCTGATCTATTCCATTTTTCAGTTACATGCAAATGCATACTCCCTGGAGTTGCTCTCAACATGTAGAATAGAGAAGAATCTCGTAACCAGCAGGTCAAAGGTCATTGCGTGAGTTCCTATAACATTAAAGTTATTTCTGCAGCGTTAAACCGATACTATCCTACAAATCCAATCTGTCTAAGAGTCTTACCTGCACCGAAAGCAAAAAAGTAAGTCTGGTTGGGATTTCTCTGCAGCAGGGCAGAAACTCGTCGTGCCATTCGCTCGTTGCGTTTGTAGATCAGCTCCTGGCGGAAGTAGCTGTCAATCTGCTGAGCCGTCATGCGGTCATGAGCTGGCAAAGAGCTGTTGATGAAGTGAGGCAGCTGAAAGAAAGAAAAAGACCGTGAGAAAAAGGACTTTCAAAGCCTTTGTGGTAAAAATCCATGGCAGAATTAATAGTAAATGAATCACTCAAATTTTAAATAAAACATAAAAAGAAAGAAAGAGCGTTAAAGAAAAGTGGGATGGAAAGAAAGAAGAGGGCTGAATGGTGGTGTTGGTGCCCATGTGAGTGTGACACCTGGCAGCCAGAAGTGTTTCTGATGTGACAGCTTGACAGAAACTGACCAGCGCAACGCCCTGCGCTGTACACTGATCTTTACATGAGAAAGCATTAACAAATGAAGGAGTTGGAAGGAGAAGTGTCAGCGCCATCTGTGTGTGTATATAGGTTTAACATTTCTGTGTGTGTGTGTGTGTGTGTGTGTGCATGTATGACGAAAACTGTTTACACAAATGTGTTTATAGGTGTGGTATGTGCGCTACATGAAAGACACTACAAGTGTGTATGCCTCAGTTCAATATATTGTGAAGTGTAAATGTGTTTAATTACTGTTTGATACATTAGCAGCCAGACAGACAGAGAGACCTGGCTCTGTTCCACTTTTTCCTCCATCAGTCGTTAATCTGTGAAGATGAGTGGGGGGGTTGGCGGTGGATTTAGGATTTGAGATGTCCAGTTCCTTAAGCCCCAGGATAGAAAATGTATCTCTCTGTATCTCGCCCTCCTTATATGACTTGAATACATACTTTTAGATTGATTCCCTCTACAGATCTATCACACACTGACAGTAATAAAGATATTTTTGTAAATGTAAGCACTATTTTCTTATTGAGCTAGATTTTTTCCCAATATCTCTCATTACATTCCAAGGTAAATAAAAATCTGCCATAACAAGAAAATTGGAATTCCATGGAAAGGCTTTTCTCCTTGGCTGGTTATTTACTAAGGGTCTAATTATAAGGCATTCATTCAAAGCTCTTCTTTACTTACAGAGGACGCAGTGTAAGCAACAGAGAAACATCAAGTGATGAAGATCTTATTTAGTTAGTAAAGTTGTTAGCAGTTTGTTCCACTCAGCGGCTGATTTAATTACTTAAGAAAGTGATTACTATGCAGTCACATTAATATAAACTAATCATTACCTAACAGTTTGTTATTATATCTTCCAGTCTGTTCTGTACAAAGTCATTGTATATAGCCCAATCTTACTTTAAAGTAGGACAGATTTAAATAATGGTGGGAATGTAGAAACAAAGAGGTTGGTTTTCATACTCTACACATATGCAGATGTGTTTAATCTGGATTTGTATTTAACTGTGACAAGGAACACTCATGCAAGCATGCTATTGCTGTCTAGAACTGAGCTACAAGTTTACACAACAGTAGAACAGCTGCAAATGGTGCGTAAATTAGCATGTGTATGTGTGTGTGTCAGGCCTGAAAACATGAGGGGATTTATTGCACCACATGTGAACGAGGTGCACTTCAGAATCCATCCAAAATCTATACGATGTTTCCTTTCAGTCACACCGTCTCAGTCTGTTTTGATTCATACTTCAGTTATCTTAATTTACAACAGAACATTGGATAATTTCATTTGTTTGTTACACAAATATACATTTCCATTAGTAAACATTTTCTCATTCCAGGATTTAGAGGTTTGTCATTTTTTCCATAGTCTACAGTTGGAATATATATTACTCTGCTTTTCTATAAATGTCTCATACTATTATTATATCCACAAACAAATCTTCACTGCTTCATTAACCTTCTGGAAGTTATGGAGATTTTTGTAAATATATTTTACAAATGTGATAAACTTCATCATGTGCTACCACTTCCAGTGGCGATATCTCTTTATGTACTGTTATATTGTAATATTAGTAAAAAATAAAGGCCAGGTGCTAAAAGGAAGTTTTACTTAAGCGCTGTCCATAAACCTGAGCCATTTCCACACATGTTCTGAAGCCCTGATCTTTTCTAGGTCTCGCAAGACGGAGCCACATGTGAGAACTCAAATGTCTCACGCAGTCAAGTCATACATGTGTTGTTTTCAACCTGCCAGAACACTTCTACAGAGTTTGTACAATGTTGGCCTGAACTGATGTATAAACCAAGCAGATCATATCAATACTTCATTTACTGCTGGTTAATTGGTGTCATATGCACTGCCTCATACATGAATACATCTATCCAGCCAGCTACCTTAGCTAAATCACACAGTATATATGCCGCAGCGCAGTGGACTATTCCTTCGTGTTTGCTACGTGTGACAAAGGACAGCTTTGGAAAATATCTTTGCCTCATTCTTCAGAAACTATGAAAGGTTTATGTGTGAAAACAGTTTTAGAATAAAAGATCAAGAAAAGAACCTTTCCCTCAAATTTCCCTGATTAAATTTGAACGGTTTGTATGCCACTGAATTAAAATACGTGCTTTTTGTTATAACCCAGCAGTAGAACAAAAAAGGCAGAAAGAAACAAAAGCGCATTTACACAATTATCTGTAGCCCAAGGCCTTTTTTATCTGTGTTTTGTCAGGGTGAATGACGCAGGTTTACCCAGATTGACAGCTCTATACGATTCATAAATAAAATAATGCAAACTTGGAAGAAAGTTATGGAAAAGTTTAAAGAGAGAGCTGAAGAAAAAGGTGCAGAAAGACTTCATGGCTGATGAGAGAGGATCGTGTGAGTGTTTCAAGACAAGGAAAAAAAGGGTTCGGTCAAAGAGGGGTCAAGGTAGGAGTGTAACGGTAAACGCAGATAAGTTATCACATGAAAAGCCATTAGCTGCTCTCCATCCCAACGTCCACAGGAAACACATAGTGACAGCAAGATATTTTCTCCCTTCCCCACCACTGGTACTGCTCTGCACTCATGTTCTCGTACATATCCTGCCAGCCGTTTACTTCTATTTTTTCCTTTCCCTTCGGATTCAGCTGTTTGAAATCCCCTTTCTCTTCTGCTCTTTCTTTCTTTTTTTGTAGCTCTGATGATATCGTGGCACTGAAGTGATAACAACTTGTAGGGACAACCCAGAGTAATACAGCATTTAAGAACATTTTCAGTCATATATTACCATATAATTTATGCAGAAACATAACAGATGTGGAAAACTAAACCTTTGAGACATAATTTTTCATCTTGGCACATCAGTCTACATTTTGATGGTTTACATCTCCAGGTAACTTTTGCCTATGTCTTTTGTTTTCTTCATTTTTTTTAATGTGTTTACTTAAATGAATGCATTCATCTTACTTCTTTTGCATTTCAGTTTTTCTTCTGTCTCACTTGTACTCTGTTTTTCTGATGAATTTGGGACCGGTTGAATGCTGAAACACATTAACCTCTCTTACACCGTTCCACTCACTTGTGGTCTCTGGCCTGCCATCGGCCTCTTTCTTATTTGAAGAAGATTGAGCTGAAAGAGCATCAGGGGTGTCGGAGCGGGGGCCACTGGATTAAGTCCTATCTATCAAAAAACACCTGTCCTTTTACAGCTCTGGAAGCTCACATTCACACAGACACACAAACCTGCAATAGATCATTAGGCTACAGAAGTGAGCTCTGAAGTCAGGCATCTGATTGCTGTAGCATATGTTGGGGAATGTTAATACATGTTATTATGACATGAGGAGCAGGGGCAAACTGGTATGATTTAAACTGCAGGTGAAATAGTGGCTAACAGCCCTTCATGGCTCACAGGAAGAAAAAGGTGTATAAAAGCAGACAATGAGAGAGACAGGCATAGAAACACGGAGAAAAAAAAGCAATCGCATGTCATTTGTCAGCGCTGAATTGTAAAGGCATTGTGAGTTTGTGTGTACAGTAAGTTTTTTCATATAGTGTGTGTCTCTAGTGGATATAATGTGGAACTCGAGCAGTGAGTTGAGGTTACATGGTCTTTTGGGTTTAATGGGACTTAAGGATCAGTGAGGGAGGTTGACACAGCATAACTGACTTATGAGGAGAGCGTTTGAGCAAATCTGCATTTAAAAGGCAGAGATGGATTGAGAGCCACTACATGTTGTGCCTACCACATGTATTTGTAGGTATGTGTGCATGTGTGTGTGTGTGCGTGTACTTAATGCCGAATGGCCTCTTGACAGCTGGGTATGAAGACTGATTAAGAGACCATCACCAAAGGAGCAAAGGCTATGTTAGGAAATAAGTTGGAGGAGGTTAGATGGTGTATTTACAGTGGAGTCCAGAGCTATTAAAGTGTCAGACTATCAAGTAACTTGAGGCTGAGAAGGATTAATATGGCAATGTGCAGATTTGTGGAATTGACGTGTAAGCCCAAAAGTTCGAGGTGACGATAGTGTAATGGCACAGAAGTGGGTATGAGAAGTTTGCCAACTCAAATCGAGGATCTGACAGATTCAAGTTCTGAACACTGTTACAGATGTTTTGCTACCACTAGCTAGTATTTTCTGTGAGGATTTTTAGTGAATCAGGAACGATAAGTAGACGATTCCCTTTTCCAGCAAAACATAGCTAACTTAGAAGTTCAAAGGTTCGCCTTTTTTCTGCTTTAAAAAATTGCAAAGTTAATAAATAAATATTTTGGTAGTTTCTGCAAATGAATTTAAGAAAGTTGTCTTTGATGGTTAAAAGTTTACAGCAGGGTATCAAAGCAAGTCTCACTTGCATGATACCTTAGGTCACTATTAAAAAAGAAAGAAAGAAAAAATCAGTTTCATGACCTAAAACACATATTCATATAGTGTAACATGTTTTTATGCCTGGAAGCAAACCTGGAACCATTCATCATTGTTTGGTAGCGAATGCAGGTTCCCATTCTTTTCAGTTCTCTCGGTAGAAAAAGAATGAATGTGTAGGTCTGCAGCTTAAATATAGTGTGCAGAGGATGATGCTACATGCACAGGTGTGATTAATCTGGTAAACTGTACTGCACTGAGTATGCAAGTGAGTTGAGATCAGTGCAGAATCTTCAAAACAGCTAGCTCTTAGTTTGCCTAAAACTGGCTGAGAGAAATTAAAAAACGACGGATTATGTGACAGTACATTTTAGGTCA